TAGATAGATAGATAGATAGATAGATAGATAGATAGATAGATAGATAGATAGATAGATAGATAGATAGATATAGATGTGCTCTTTGAGTTCACCCTGTCAATTTTTAATTTCTTTGTCTGCTTCAGATGTGTTTGAACCGTCGGTGCCAGAACGTCAGCGTTTTTCATGTGCACGAGTGTGCAGCCAAGTGCAGCGGTCGAGGGGTAAGTACGGCACCTCTCCRTCATACTTCAGGCAAACCTCAGCCCGGTTAATGCCCCGTTTCCTCCTCGCCGAAGCTCCCGAAGCTGCAACACGTTCAAAATTCAGTTCGTTCTACGCTGGTTAGGGGATAAATGGCGACGCCGAGCCATAAATCACCGTGAGCGCTGAAAGGTTCAATCAATTAGATATAATGATCTCATTTATGTTCGACTCTAGGTGCCATTCATCACACACTCAGGCTGTCGCTCTTGTCATAAAACCTGAATTAAAATTTGTTGGCCAAATTTTGTTTGGGGGGAAAAGCAACGACACACAGTTTTAGAGACGTGGGTTAAGAGTTTTTGTTCTCRGCTCTAAACGCTGAACATCTATGGGTGGTCCTGTTTGACACAAAATATGTAGCCTAGGGATATAAATTCTCTGACAGGTCCCAGAGGTCTGGGCTTTAACAGCGGAGCCGTTCCTACGTGGCAAATGTCGAAGAAACGGTTGTGACTGCCTCTTAAAATAAAACATCACCAGTCATTAGGGGGTCATATTTGCTTGTGCAGTTCCAGTTAGTACACATCTATAAAACACTAAGGAATGAAAGTAAAGGATGTGGCTGCTGCAGGAGAGGGGGCACCCCTGCATGCAGAGATTAGAYCAAGATGTTGAAGCCTTCACCTGTTCCAAATTACCCAGGCAGGGAATCCTCCCAGACTTTACCGTTCCTGTAGGACAGGAGGACAAGAGGGGGAGAGAGAGTCAAAATACAGCTGAAAGGGCAGAGCGTGCTTTGGTTTTCATATCGGACATCTTCATTCACTTATATAGAAATACATCTCATTTAAAATGACAGCTCTTTCTGTTGCGGAGTTAATAATTTTAAACAGAATTTCTTCAAGTTACCATCTTGAAAGTTGTGATGGGCATTTTCTCAACTTTGCAATAAAAAAATATAAATTTTTTTGTTGGACTCTTAAATATTGCCAAGTGTTATAAACCTGTGGATTGTTGCGTATTGTCCTTTTTATTTTGCTGCAGGTGTGCAACAACAACAAGAACTGTCACTGTGAGGCTCACTGGGGGCCTCCTTTCTGCGACACGGCAGGTTTTGGAGGAAGTCTGGACAGTGGCCCCATCAGACTTGCAGGTAAGTCAGCAGGAGATGCATTCAAACTTTATTTCCTTATTCCCCTTTGGCTACTTTATAAATGCCCCGTGCTTATAATTCTTTGAAAAGTGTTGCTTGTTGTGTTTTAAAAATAAAAGCATCAGAACTCAGAACAATTGGCTCCTAAACAGAAGCGTTAAAGGAGGAAATCATGTACATCATTTGCGATCCGCTTTCTACAAAGTTTACGGCAAACTGCAGACAGCTGAATAATGAGTGTTCTGAAAATGTGCTTTTTCTTCTGAGCAGACAACAAGAYCTTGACGGTGGGCATCCTGGTGTCTCTCCTCACTGTGCTGGTGGCTGCTCTGATCGTCTGCATCAAGAGGAAAACCCTGAAGGGTCTGCTGTTCACCGGCAAAAAGAACCCCATGGAGAAGCTTAGGTTCGATTTAAATCATTTGTTAAAATAAAAAAAAATGTTTTGTGTTTCACACAGCAATCAGGAAATGGATGCTAAGACTTTGGAGTTTTGTAACTTTGACACTTTTTGAAATATTTAACTTTATTTGCAAATGTTTTGTACAAAGCAATACATTATAATTTCTTCATTTCTTTCTTTATTTTTTATTTATAACCTTTATTTAACCAGGATGTCCCATTAAGATTAAAACCTCTTTTTTTAAGAGAGACCTGGCCAAGATTGGTAGCAAGATCAGCAGCAAATGCAACACATAGTTTCACATCTTAATAAGACAAATTTAAAAACATCAAATTGAAAAACATTAAAAGATTTAAATTAAAACAAATTAAAACAACAAGTGCAAGTTATGGAGTCAGTATCAAGACCTTTCAGTTTTGATTTAGAAGCACTCAGTGAAACTAACTCAGACAGTTTCCAGTCTTTCTGCAATGTATTCCATGTAGAAGGTGCAGAATGGATAAAAGCCTTTTTTCCCCAATTCAGTTTGAGCAAATGGAACAGGAAGCATCAAAAAGTCATGCGAGTGGATGGAGTAAGAGACAGTGGTTTATTTTTTCAATCAAAGTACAAATGTAGGAGGGAAGAAGTCCACATATTGCCTTGTATATGAATGTATACCAATGGCAGAGCCTTCTGGTGGCCAGAGCAGGCCATTCTACCCTTGAGTACAACTCACAGTGATGTGTCAATGCCTTACAGTTGGTAATGAACCTCAAAGAGGCGTGATAAACAGTGTCAATCATTTGAAGACATTTAGCAGATGTGTTCATATACAAAATAACTCCATAACCCAACAGTGGTATAAAAAAAAGGTAGTCTCCACTATAGTAGCTTTTTCACATCAAAAGAAAAGCACAACTTATTTCTAAAATAAAAGTCTAGTTTTAGTCTGAGCCTCTTCACCAGTTTCTCCACATGGGGCTTAAAATTAAGGGAGTCGTCAATCAATGTTCCCAGATATTTATACAAACGTACCTGCTCTATTTCAAATCCATCGTGTGGTCACTGAAGGAATCAAAAGAGGCTTCTTCCTGGCGTTGGAAAACAACATAAGCTTTGTCTTGTTAGCATTTAGCACAAGTTTCAGCTGAATTAATGAATGTTGGATGGTATTAAATGCTTTCTGCAATAATTCAACAACCTGAACAAGCGTTGATCCACAGCAGTAAATAACTGTATCATCAGCATAAAAGTGCAAACCAGCTTCTGACACATTTAGACCCAGATCATTAATATAAATAATGAATAAAAGAGGACCTAATACAGAACCCTGTGGTACCCCTTTATATACAGTGGCCTGTTCTGAAACATAGCTGTCTTTAAAATCTGCTTTTATTTGTTCTGTCTCCAATGCTACTTTTACCGTTTAGCTACTATTGCACTACTTTTAGCTTTTCACTAGCGTTTTTGCTATTTTAAGCTTTTAGCTTACCATCTGCTACATTTAACCTTTAGCTAGCATTTTGTTTTAGCTTCTAGTTAGCTTTTTGAAACATTTAGCTTGTCCTTTGTTACTTTTATCTATTAGCTACTGAGGTTTTCTGCTTCCTTTAGCTTGACCAGCACAGTAATTTATTTGTTTCAGCTCTTTGATCAGAAAGTGATGTAGGATCAGTGAAATAMAAACATTAATTTTCCCCTTCTGGTTTTGTGTTACAGATCAGAGACTGCTGCCATCAGCGGACCACCCGCTCCGAAACCTCCATCCACAGCGAGCGCATCTCCGTCCCGACCGGCACCGCCTCTGCCGCACAGTGCCACCATCTTCAAGGTCACTCCAGCAGCTCGCACGTCTCACTCTGACTGTCAGTCATAGAGACGCACAAACAGCCATCTTCACACTGAAAAGCCGTTTGTACAGTCGGACTAAAGGACGACGAGCGGCAGGTCTTTGCTGCGGCTGCTCACAAGTCGTTCTCAGCTGGATGGATGTGTTGTTTTCACACAAATGGCAGCTCATTCAAACCCAATTAAGCCGTCCCTCTGAACGTGGACAGGCGGCGGAGGTGGTGATAATGGAGTCGGGGAGGGCTCCGGACACTTGAATGCATTTCTCGTCATTAACAGCTGCCTTTTTCAGAGAGGAATTGATTTATCTGCATGTTGGGCCGCATGAATAATGTTGACGGAGCCGCTCGGTTGACACCTGAAGCAATTCTGGTGCTAATAATTGCAAGACAGAGACCTCGGCTTTTGCTGTAATGACTTGTGCGCCTCCGCCGCCATGCGCCTTAACCAGTGCATTAGTGGCTTGGCATTATTTGTAATGGGAAGTGATTCGACTGATGTAGATTTGCTGAGGGATGAAAGCAGCCGGGTCAGGAGGGTTGCAGCGAGGCGGGGATCGAGCGCATTAGCATGAGGTTGATATTTTCAGTTAGCAGCAGGTGCTTTTCATTTGGTGAAAGGCAAAAGAAGATGTAAGGGCTGTTTGATGTGAGCGCGGCGCAGGTGAGGTCAGACGAGTGTGACAAGCTGCTCACATCTGGCCTGGGATTAAAAATGAAGCAGCCTGATAATTTGGCTTRAATTAATGTCAAATCTTCCTAAGTGTGTGGCCTGTTTGGCTGCGTCCATTTTAGAATTAGGCCAAATGGGCGCCTAAGGGACGGTTTAAGTCTTTAATTAGTTACCGGTGAAGGATTTGGGTAAAGCTGAGCAGCCATTGAGGGATTGATTTACACGTTTCTGACAGCAGCAGAGGAGGTGAACAGGATTGTTTTCTGTTAGGAATCAGACGGTTTGACCAAGTGGCTTTTATCTTTCTGCAGTCTCCTCACCGGGGGCCGGAGGCAGGACCCCCACCGGCTCCATACCCGGCTCACAGCCTGCGCAGACTTCCCCAGTGCCCTCCAGTTCACCTCAGCCACCCGGTGCCCCTGTCCCTCACGCTGTCCCTCTCCCCGGGGCCCCAGCAGCTGAGACCCCCGGCCCCTCCTCCTCACCGAGCCCCTCCTCCTCACATCCACATGGCACCCAGGGGAGCGTCGTTCCGCAGCGTGTCCCACCACAACTCCTGCAGGATGGTGATGGTGAGTGGACTTCCTGCTCCATCGGCAAACGTTTTATTCCAGGATGCTTTATAGCGTCTGGGGAGTGTTTCACTCACCTCCGCAGCCTGTGACACCACCACGTACACTTTTAGGCCGGTGTTTTGAAGCCCATTGTTGTAGCGGCACTTCTGCGTCCTATAAAAGTTTCAGTCTTGTTGACAGTCCAGCGCAGTCTAGGTGACGTCAAATCTGCAACACAAAACGCCACAGAAAAAATGAAAATGGAGCCAGACTCAGTTGTGAGTGTGTGTGTGTGTGTGTGTGTGTGTGGGGGGGGGTGTCTGGTGACGTTTGGGGGCAATTTTAAGACAAAATGCCTACATTTGGGAACAAAAGTTGAGTCCCCGTTTGGTTTAAATGCCATTGGTGGGTTGGGGGTTGGGTTTAAAGGCACAGTATGTAGGATTTTGTCAATTCTTTTAGCCGAAATTGAGATAATCACTAATAACAATTATAAAAAACATGTCTAATCATTGCAGACAAAGACCTAGTTTTATTATTTTTACCTTATAAAAAGCTGTTTACATCTCCATGGTCGCGGGTCGCCACTACAGGCAGCCGCCATCTTGTCTTGTCGAAGGCTCATGAAGGACAAACTGCGGTGGTGGCGTCAAAAACGGTTTTAGTTGTAATACTATAAATGTAATATTTGTCATTGTAGCTGGGATAATTTTACTTATTAAAGCTCATAATCTTACCACTTGAAACATCACTAGCACTGAAGCTGCTGGTAGACATCGCGGTTGGAATTATCAAAGGTTTTTGACACCTGAGAGACACCGTAGCAACTCCTTTGTGTTTGGAAGCAGGGGGTGGGGGTGGGGGGAGGACAAGGGAGGATGATTCAACCACTCAACCACTAGATGTCGCTGAATACAACAAATCCCACACACTGTGCCTTTAAGACCAAGGTGTGAATTGAGTTTAGGTTAGTTTTAGGGTCAGGTAGGTACCTGTGAGGTTAGCTTTAGGGTCAGGTACCTGTGAGGTTAGCTTTAGGGTCAGGTAGGTACCTGTGAGGTTAGCTTTAGGGTTTGTGGTCAGGTATAGGCTGTAGAAATGTAATGGAAGTCAATGGAATGTCCCCAAATGGATAGCTGTGCGAACGTGTGTGTGTGTGTTTGGGTGGGGGTGAGGGGGTAGTAGTAGTGAACTCTCTGCCACAGCTACAGCTCTGAGTTTTAGTTCTGACCTTCCAGTGTGTAAAAAAAACTGAAGGAAAGAGAAAGTTTGAGACTCTTGAAGGTAAACCTTCAGCTCTGTGGTTCTCACTGTGGCTTTAATTTGGTTTGATTTTAAACTCTGCGGCAAAAGGAACCAAACGAAGGAGCAAATTGAAACAAACTGTAGACAGACAATAAATTTGACAAGTCATCAAAGCGTCGCCTGGTTCCAGTCTCACTTAGCAGCTTTTGTAGTGTTTCATACTCTGCTCTGCTATTAGCTATCAGCAAACATCACAGTGGCTTCAGCAAGTTGTTCTGTTTTTATTTAACGTGATTAACATCTGGAATGAACCTCACACGTAGAAATAAGTACTGTCATCAAATACATCTGTTTTCTTGTATCTTGCCCTACTTTAACAGGGACACATGTAAACAGAAAGTCTGGACTCACCAACTACAGTTTGATGGTCTTCATCCTCCTCTGGCTCTGGGTCAGACTCTGACTCCAACATGTGAGGCTGGATGGACACTTCTTCCTTTTTTGACAGATTTTAATTAGTTTGTAAATAAAAAGTTTCTGCGCAGCTATATAGTCGTAAACCCCTCTATCAAACTGAAATGGACCAGTCTGGAAGCTGAAGTGGGGTCGGGGTGTGAAACGCCTCGTTTGGATTTAAAGAGACAGCCTCAAAACGAGTTGATCTGAGACGCACCTCAGTAAAGGGGTGAAAGAGAGGCTTGTGGAGTTACAATAAGGAGGAATTCAGTCCAAAGCATTGCAGTTCCACTTTTTATAGTTTTTATAGACCTAAATTAAATGTACTTTACAAAATGATCATGTCTAAATGAAATGATTGGCTCTAAATCAGTTTAGACTAAATGTTTTTGGTTTGTTCTGTTTGCAAATAAAAAAGCGAGATTTGAAGTCACAACTTGTTTTGATAATTTCATAAACAAAAATTTTCATGATTTTCTGAAGCGAACATTAAAAGACAGCAAAAAATGCAACATAAAAAGCTGCATTTTGTCCACGAGCGTCGCACACCTGTTCACCAGGTGCTCCGTACCGCAGCTCCTGGCAGAGTTTTGTGTTTTGGAAGTAGAGCCCCCTCAGCTGCTCCTTGTTGATGTCAGAATGTGAAAGTGATTCCTTTTGGCAGCAGACTTCTCTGACAGGATCTTTGGCAGCTGTTTGGCAGCTCCGAGACGCTGACAGAAGACGTAAACCATCAGCGATCGCTCTCTGCTGGGGGGCGACCAAGCTTCGCCTCCCCTCGGGGTTTTAGGATTCTCGAGGGCTGAATCTGCAGAAGCCTTTTTGCATCAGTTCATCACCGGATCAGACCCGCTCGTTTTGTTTTGAACAACTGACTGTCACTGAGAGGTTTCAGGTTCGGTCTTTGTTTTGTGAATTTGGATAAAGACACGTTTCCTTTCACATCATGTGTTGCCTCAATAAGGTGCCTGACAAGAAGAGGACAAGAAACCAAATAAACTGTATTAGGTTGTATGTGAGCGCCCTCTTGTGGTGAATAATCTTATATGAATAGGCTTATATATTTGTTTACACAGGAGCTGGAGAAGCCCAGTCCTCCACAGAAACCTCTGCCTGCCGATCCAAGGAGCTCCCGTCTGGTGCGAAGTCCCTCTTCAGTGCAGGACCACTCTGTAGGCCAGGGGTCCTCTGTTATATGTGGACCTGCACCAGTACCAGGTGCACCCAGACCTGTGCGCCCAGTCCCACTCCCCAACAGGTGAGCCACAATCGTTACCGTTTGTAGATCTTAGCACAATGTGGCGAATGTCTGTTTTTATCAACACAATGTCCCAACTTTTTTTTTTAAATTGGGCTTTTAAAATACCAAACTTTTATATCTAACTTAAATATTTGTTTCTTTTCACCTCTAGGCCGAGGCCCAAGCAGCCTCCAACACTACCAAAGCCTTGCATTGTTGCCAACATTAAATACAGCAGCTGAGACTTTGGCCAGAAGGGACAAACAAATAAAAATAATAATAATTTGCACTAAAACAAACAAACTCTGAGAGCCCTGAAACGATGGCGGCATCTCGGAGTCGTGAATCGTGAGATTTGCCGTGTCCCTTTGGTGCCCCGTCTCCAAAATGGTGCTACGAGTCTGCGCTCAGGTCCATGTAAAGTATTTATATTCTGTATTTATTGCCACCCAGTGCACTGTGCCAGACACTTTTACTACACGGTAGCAACTTTAAATCTTTTTTTTTTTTTTACATACACTGATTTTTGTTTTTTTTAGAAGAAAAAAAAAATATGTGAAACTGCAATTATAGAAACGTTCCTGGAACTTTTTACATTATCTTTGCAATGACGGATGAGAACTTTGGGGTTTTCTTGAAGGGAAATGCTGTCTGTAGCATCTTTGAGCCAATCTGGCAAGACTTGAAACAACTCTAGAAGAAAAAAAAAAGTTACGGCAAAGAAAGTCATCAGACGACTTCTTTCTTCTTTTACATACAGCAGAAAGTTGAACAAAGTGCCACTGATTTGCAACGAACACTTCTCTTTACCCAAGCTGAAATCAAGGAAGCATCTTTTTGTCTGGAAAACAAACTCATGTGAAGGATCCTGTGTTGTTTTTTTAAGGTTTGATCTATATGGAAGCCCATTTCTGCCACCCTGATAAAAAATAAATAAAACTTGTATCTCATCATTATGACTTAGCTATCTTTATGACTTAGCTATCTCATAATTATGAGATAGCATCTCAAAACTATGAGATACAAGTTTTATTTTTTATCAGGGTGGCGGAAATGGGCTTCCATATATCTATGCCTCGGTCTCTGCACATAACTCCACGTCAGACTGCGGTCCGGTGCAAACGTGTGTTCAGCTCGTGTTCATGTTTTAAATCCTGTTTTTTTTCCCTCCGATGGGAAAGAAGAACTTCACTTGAAAAAAGACGCATTTGTCATTCTGTGAAGTTAAACGACGTCMGACGAGCCACAGGTTCTCCACCACTAACAAGCAGTTTATTTTCTTTAGTTTGGCTCCTTGAAGCCAGTTTACAGGAAGCAAACAGTGTTTTAGTATTTACTGTCACACAGTCCTTTACCAACATATAGTATAGGCTGAAAACTGACTTTTTAAATTTGTCATATTGTCTTTTATTTTGAAATAAATGCACACATTTCCTTTGCTTTTCCAATACTCTGTACTAATAGACAACATTTGAGTGTAGTCACATGTTCCGTCCGTATGTTCTTTGTATTTTGTGTTACAGGTGAACACTTTTATGAAGAATGTGTTTTTTTCTTACTAATGTTTGATACTTTGTATGTAAAGAAAAAAATATATCTAAAAAAGTTATAATAAAGTGTCATTCATGATGTTTAAACACACAAACAGTAAAACTGTTTTCAAAACAAAAACACATTTGTGGATTTTTTTGTGTACGAGAGAATTTTGAACGCACTTTTTTCTCCATCCAAGACAAGTGTTGCCTCATATGACCAAACACTTTTACTTCAACAGATCTCTTATYGGCTAATGCAAAGCTCATCACATGAAAGAACCGCCGGTGAGAGCAAACATATCCAGCAGGACATGTTGGACCCTGAGAACCAGAAACTGCACAAAGAAACCAAACGGCAACACAAATAAAGCTGTGCAACAAAGACACGTGATTCACCGAACTGAAAATTACACGGATTGTCCGTAAAGTACAGATTTCCCCCCATTTTGCACRTATACAGACTTACGGATTTTTATCAAAAACTTTGTTCTGCAGACGCCGTTTTCTAACATCTCCTCTCCCACATCGGCCCACAGTTCACCTGTTCGCTCCAACAACCTCCCCAAATTGTGCGAATACTTTGGATTTTTTTGTAAACTTTATGAATTTTAGGCAGTTTAGTGGAGGAGGAAGCTGCAAGCTCAACATTACCTCAGGCTCTGAGACATAAAAAACTTTAAAGATGAGTTTTTGAAAAAAAGAAATGAGATTTTCTTTGTTTTTGTGAAGAAAATGAGGACATTTTATGTCATTTACAGACATTGAGTACGTGACATTGGTGTGTTGAAAGTGAAGTTATCTGAGGATTTGCACTATTTTATCTTGACTTCTCTAAGGATATTCTTGAACATGAAATCCGGTGCAGTGATTGGTTCATGCCGGGGTTTTTGTAACATTGTCAACCAGGATCAGCTTTGCAGCACAGAAAAGTGTTTTTAAAAATCAGCTCTAAGACAGACGCTTAAGATTTCCTCTTAAACTTCACTGTGAGACTGAGACACTTGATAACTGACTTTTAGGCTCAGCTTTTTAGCTAAGAATTTGACATTTAAGTCCTTAATTCTAACAAGTTTGATAAATATGGGCCCTGTGGTCAATGAAAGCTACATGCTGGTATTTACTAAATAAGTTTATGAACGTGACATCACTTAACACTTTCAGGAGGCAGAACTTTTTACTAATCCAGCTTTTATTTTTTTAGCTGTCGTTAATGACATGCTGCAAATGAACAAGCTCTWTGTTGGATTGAAAGATATTTTTTAATGATTTTTCAACCATTTCAAGACATAACTGTACAAAACCAAGTAGTTCTAATAGAATTTTGACTCACCCATCATACCTCTTTAACAAGACACTTCATGTTTACTGTATATCAAGTGTGACTTTTCTCAAACATAAACAGTAAAATCCAGTTTTCACCACACAAGCTGTCCTTATAGAAACCTCAGACTTCTCTTGATGTAGCCAGCTGCAATTTTACAAAATTGTCCTGAAAGRAAAAGTCTTATTTAACTGAGACAAAATCCCATCTGAGAAAATATTGGGCCTCATGCAAGAACATGTTTGTATTCTTATCCTAAATTTCTCTTACTTTTGTT